TGGTGTCTGGTCGATGTGTGGTGTCTGTTTTTGTTCACTGAAAACACCGAGAAATCACACACTAAACTCTCACGTTGATTGTTATCTGTTGTCTAGGCCTCGGGACTAGAAAATTCGTCGCTCGTGTTCCTTGTCACCGCTTCGAACTTCTGCCGTCCGCCTCCCGCCCTCAAGAATAAATGCAAGCCAGTATTATGTGCCGGTCGTGCGGACGCTAACTGCTCACAATGTGGCCCCTCGCGGGCTTCCTCTTGCTAGATTCGGGGGGGCGTTATAGTCCTAGCAAGAAGTAGTAACTTCATCACAACCACCAAAAAAAACAAGCAAGACAAATAAAAAAAAAAAAAACGCTCTCTCACACAGCCTCACACTCGCACACTCACACACACACACACACACACACACACACACACACACACACACACACACACACACACACACACACACACACACACACACACACACACGTGTAAAGCACCTGCGCCGAGCGTCATGTCAAGGTGCGTGTTGCCACGGAAGGTCTGGTTGAAGCCCTTGACCACCTTCTTGTACAATGCCGGAAAGTGGTGGACAGGCGCTGCGTTCTTGCTACGGGCGTGTTCCCGATCTCTTCCTCGTCGGTCATGCTTGTGCGACGCCGTTGGCCGTGGCGTTCTTCCTGCTGCTCGTGCTCCTCGCTCCCTTCCCTTCACTGCCTTTCCTTTGCCCTTTCCTTCCTTTGCCCGTGCCTGCGTTGCCACGTGTCTCATCCATGTCGCCAGCGGCGCAACATGTGCTGCTGCTGATGCTGGCGTTGTGGATGTTGCTGCTGACGGCGGCGCAGTGGAATATGCAGGCAATCTCGCAGCTGTTCCGCTGCGTCCAGCGCACTGCCGGCCAAGCCGCAGCACGCTCCTCGCCATGGCCGCTTGATCTCGTGGAGAAGCGGAGGAGATGGGAGGGGGTGGATTGATGAGACGCACAACACACGTGGATGTGGTTGTCTTTGCTGCTGTTGTTGTTCGTTGACGACCGTTTTTTCTGCCGCCAACAACAACAACAACAACAAAACAACAACAACAACACCCAATACAACACAACACACACGTTCCATTCGCACACCACAATACACACAGCAGGCATGGTTGTATTGAGAGCCAAGTGCGCCATCATTGGTAAGCAGCAGCGTACACGAGCAATGACATCCTCTGCTTGTGTGTGTGTGTGTGTGTGTGTGTGTGTGTGTGTGTGTGTGTGTGTGTGTGTGTGTGTGTGTGTGTGTGTGTGTGTGTGCTTTAAGCTGTCGCTTCGGTACAAGCATGTTTCCGAACGTCACAGCGATATCACGTCTGCCTCCTTCTATTCTTCCACATCCCCTCATATCGATTGCACCCGCACCAGGTTCGAGTTGATGAGATACTGGGCTGTGTCGATGACCGAATCGTCACCGTCTGCGGATATGATGTTCTGCGCGCCCGCCTTGAACACGTGCCGCACGTGGTTACCTGCGGTGTAAACCAGGGTGTTGCGCAGTGTGTGTACACGTGAGATGGGTTGCAAGTGCGGGCAATGGAGAAAGGCAAGGGAAATGGGAGGGCGTAGAAGAGCAAACAACATTCGAATGCTACACACACGCACACGCGCACGCACGCACACACACACACACACGCACACACGCACACACACACACACACGCACGCACACACACACACACACACACACACACACACACACACACACACACACACACACACACACACACACACACACACACACACACACACACACGTGTAAAGCACCTGCGCCGAGCGTCATGTCAAGGTGCGTGTTGCCACGGAAGGTCTGGTTGAAGCCCTTGACCACCTTCTTGTACAATGCCGGAAAGTGGTGGACAGGCGCTGCGTTCTTGCTACGGGCGTGTTCCCGATCTCTTCCTCGTCGGTCATGCTTGTGCGACGCCGTTGGCCGTGGCGTTCTTCCTGCTGCTCGTGCTCCTCGCTCCCTTCCCTTCACTGCCTTTCCTTTGCCCTTTCCTTCCTTTGCCCGTGCCTGCGTTGCCACGTGTCTCATCCATGTCGCCAGCGGCGCAACATGTGCTGCTGCTGATGCTGGCGTTGTGGATGTTGCTGCTGACGGCGGCGCAGTGGAATATGCAGGCAATCTCGCAGCTGTTCCGCTGCGTCCAGCGCACTGCCGGCCAAGCCGCAGCACGCTCCTCGCCATGGCCGCTTGATCTCGTGGAGAAGCGGAGGAGATGGGAGGGGGTGGATTGATGAGACGCACAACACACGTGGATGTGGTTGTCTTTGCTGCTGTTGTTGTTCGTTGACGACCGTTTTTTCTGCCGCCAACAACAACAACAACAACAAAACAACAACAACAACACCCAATACAACACAACACACACGTTCCATTCGCACACCACAATACACACAGCAGGCATGGTTGTATTGAGAGCCAAGTGCGCCATCATTGGTAAGCAGCAGCGTACACGAGCAATGACATCCTCTGCTTGTGTGTGTGTGTGTGTGTGTGTGTGTGTGTGTGTGTGTGTGTGTGTGTGTGTGTGTGTGTGTGTGTGTGTGTGTGTGTGGTGTTTCCATCGTACTCACTGTTGTTTCTGTGTCGCTCACACATCAGGCGACCAGACGGTGGGCAAGAGCGCAGTGACACAGGCCTTTCACAGCGATGGATCACACTTCCCCAAAGCCTACACAATGGTCTGTTTGTGGTTCTGTGTGTGTGTGTGTGTGTGTGTGTCTGTGTGTGTCTGTGTGTGTCTGTGTCTGTTTATGTTGCCCTTCATGTCATCATCTCTTTGCTTCACCGTCTTCATCATATTCCTCCTCACTTTGCCACCTTTGCGCTCCAAGCTCACTCACTGCGGCATCTCACGTCTGCGCACCGCACAATGCTTGGTGCTTGGCGCCAGACGACACATCCCGAGCTTTGCGTCAAGTCAGTCAACATCCCCGATACACAAGACTCTGTGGTGAGGAAGAAGACCCTGTTCAACCAACGCCACGAGGGTTTTCCTCATCTCATCACATCAAACACATCAAAAGGCTGCTTGTTGTCTCTACCTGCGTGCATTGTCCACCCACCTCATCCTGCTTCTATATTCACCGTTTCCCGCACATGTCACTGCTGCAGGAGTTGATGCTGATTGATCTCCCAGGCGAAGAGGCGCTGCAGGAGAACATCACCTCATACGTGAGAAATACCACTGCCCACTGCTGCTAGTGCTGACGGCGCTGTGGATGCTGCCCAGGCTGCTGTGGATGCTGCTGCTGCTGTTTATCGTTGTCCAACCTGCGACACCAGCCTTGCCTCACAGCATTTTCCTTACGCTCCTCTCGCTATCCCACCCACCCTGCTGTGACAATACCATTCCCCTTCCCAATTCATTGCCACAGCTTGAGGACTGCAACATGGTTGTTGTCGTGTTTGACGTCACGCGGTCTCAGACATTTGAGAACAGCATCACCTGGCTCAACAAGGCCCGCACAGCCGCAGGCGCCTCCTTCATGGGCGGTGCGTGTATTGTGTGTGTGTGTGTGTGTGTGTGTGTGTGTGTGTGTGTGTGTCCTTGCGTCGATTCTGCTTGTGGTTCTCGCTCACACACCCTATCCTTCACATGTGACACACGAACCATACACACACACACGCTCTCGTACACGCATTCACATTGCGCAGGCGTGTTGCTGGGCAACAAGGCTGATCTTGATGCGCGACGAGAGGTGATCCGGGAGCAGGGCGAGGAAGTGGCGCGAACAAATGACCTCGACTACTTTGAGTGCTCAGCGGTGCGTACATAGTAGGGTGTGGTTAATACATTGTGTGTGTGTGTGTGTGTGTGTCTGTGTCTGTGTGTGTGTGTCTGTGTTTGTGTGTCGATAGAGAAGGGCAATACAGGTCTGCACATATCAGCATGACAGCGGATTCAGCTCTCTCCCCCCTCCCTCACACACACACACACACATGTGTGTGCTTGCTCTTCTTCTCCCTGTTTGCAGAAGAATGGGTCTGAGATTGACACGCCGTTCCACTTTATTGCCAGCATGTTTCATGCCTACTACAAGGACAAAGTGGGCCAGTTCATCACCATGGCGTAGCGCACTGATCGACCATCTCCTATCTGTGTGTGTGTGTGTGTGTGTGTGTGTGTGTGTGTGTGTGTGTGTGTGTGTGTGTGTGTGTGTGTGTGTGTGTGCGTGTCTGGTGTCACAATTGTCCATCTCTTCCACTCCATCTTCCACCATCTTCCTTGCACCCATCAACAACAAGCAGAGCCATATCCGCTGCTGCCGTTTCATGAAAGATACCATCTACTTTTCGTACTTTGCGCGGCAAGTGCTCCTCCGCACCAGCCAGTCAAAAGCGAAAAACACAACAAGCACTGCTGCCTCTGCTGTGTTGCTTGCCTTTTTCGCCGTTGTGCGTGCGTGCGTGTGTGTGCGTTGCATTCTCATTCCCCACCAAGCAAGAAGCAAGCAAGCAAGCCGTGTTGTCTTGTCGTTGGTTCTTTCCTCCTCGCTTGCTTCCCTCTGTTTTCTCTTTCTCCCCCTCCCCCGTTCCCCTTCGACCCGTCGCTCTCTTTGTCTCTGTGCGTGCCTTCCTCTTGACACCCCCCTCCTCCTCCTCCTCCTCTCACCCAACTCGGCATGGCGACGGTGCTGGTCAGTGGTGACCACGCGACAGCGCGGGAACAGGCGCCTGCCCCCGCCAATCACGACGATGATGACATGGAAGGAAGCGAAGATATCGTCGATGACAGCGACGGTGGCGAGCACAGCCCAGATGCTTCACACCCGTCGACCGTCACCCATTCCCCATCAGCGACCCAGACGAGGGCAAAGAAACATCCCCGGCACCGACGAGAGGACGATGATGATGACAGCGATGAGGACGACGACGACGACGACAGCAGCGATGAGGACGGAGGCGGTAGGCGGTCTCAAGGCATTGGAAAGAGTGCTGTGAGCAACAACGGCGCCGCGGCAAACACAACAGCAGCAGAAGCAGTGAGTGTGTCATCCCTGTCCTCCACGCCACAGCAGTCGCGCGACCCGACCACATCTGGGCCGACCAGCGGACAAGAAAGCGGCGACGAAGCAAGCAGCCACGACTCCAGCGTCTCCAAGGACAGCACAGCTCACGCCACGCCGTCAACGATGTCAGCAGCGACAACGACGTCAACAGCGACAAGGCCGACAAATGCCAAGAAGAAGGCATCAACAAACACGCGGATATCTGCGGCCGGCATGGCATCCAAGACCAATCACAGCCCCTCAACGCGCACCGGGGACAGTGGCAGTATCGACGGTGGTCTCAATGGCAAGGGCGAGCACAGTGAAGCCAAGGCATCAGCATCTGTAGCCGCTGCTGGTACTGTTGGTGAAGAAGACGATGCGGTGCCAGCGAAGAAGGCGAAGACAAGCAGCAGTGCACAAGCAAGTGCAGCCAAGAAGGGACCAACGACAACATCATCGTCGGTGTCGTCTTCTTCCACACCATCATTGTCATCAGTAGCAAAGCGGGCCAAGTCCAAAGCGGCGGCGTCCACGCCAGCAGCGAAGCGAGCGAAGACGCAGCAGAAGAAGGCGCCAAGTGGAAACGGTAACAAGGGCGGCAATAGTGACAACGGTGCAGCGAAAGCGTCGACACCCACCACCACCGGCACCCACGGCAACAACGGTACTAACGGATCCACAAAGGGCAAGGCGTCATCACCATCCACCCCTTCATCGTCGTCGTCAGCGGTGGCGTCAAACCGGAAGCGCCCGAAGAAGGAAATCAACACGGTGGGCGTGTGTGTGTGTGTGTGTGTGTGTGTGTGTGTGTGTGTGTGTGTGTGTGTGTGTGTGTGTGTGTGTGTGTGTGTGTGTGTGTGTGTGTGTGTGTGTGTGTGTGTGTGTGCGCGCGCGCGCGTGTGTGTGTGTTCCCGTGCCTTCAATCCTTCTTTACGCTGCTACCGTCCTCACTACCATCGTCATCATCACCACCATCACCACCACCCATGGCCCCTGCTCGGGTCGATATGCCAGGTGACGGAGGTAGTGCGTGGTGGCACTTGCGCCCCCCTTGCAAAGAATCTCGAAAAATGGCTGCTCAAGGTTCGACAGTTGGGACAAGGAGGGGAGAGGGGGCGAGGGCGGAAGAGCCGTTCAGATTGTGATTCGTGGTTGGTTGATGGGTTGGTGTTTGTTTCTGAGTGGTGGTGCTTGTGAAGGTGTTGGCGACAAATGCTCTGTCGTTTTGCCAAATGGTGCAGCAATGCCGCATTGGCAAGTTGCAGCACAACTGACACGCGGTTATGCTTATGTGAGTGCGTGTGTGTGTGTGTGTGTGTGCGTGTGTGCGTGCGTGTGTGTGTGTGCGTGTGTGTATGCGTGCGTGTGCGTGTGCGTGTGTGTGTGTGACACAACAGAACAAGACGTGGTGGATCTCGGAGCCGCCCGGTTCGAAGCGGCCGTGGAAGAAATCAAAGAAGCCAAAGGGTGCGTTCGTGTATCTGAATGTGCGCATTGGTGTGTATTTGAGCATGATCTGATGTGCTGTCGAGCTTCCTTCCAATTGTGAGTTTTGTTGGTCACCTGGTGTGCATGTCCCTCACTCCTGTATCCCCTCCCTGCTTGCTTCATTCCTCATCATCACGTTGCGCCACCCATCTGCATCGTTGTTTCTTGTCTCCACAGATCCGTGGAAGGAGTTGCCAAATCAACTTGCGGAGGCAGCAGGTAGGATTGCTTCTTTCAAGTGCATTCAGTTATGTGCACGTGCGTGCGTGTGTGTGTGTGTGTGAGTGTGTGTGTTTCCGCTCACGCCTCCATGTCTCTTCAACACACACACACACACACACACACACACACACACGCACACACGCACACACACGCACACACGCACACACACGCACACACGCACACCACGACATCAGGTGCGGGCGGGGACGGCGCGTGTACGGCGCTGGCTGCGCAGGTGCAGGAGCTGGCGAGCAAAGGAGAGGCCGCGATGGGCAAATACGACTACGGCGATGGCGCCGTGTGGTTTCGAAAGGCGCGCAATGCGCTCTCGCAGCTGCACATGCAGATGATCCACGCACGCAAGAATGGCACTGGCAGCGGTGTTGGTGGTGGTGGCAAGGTGGAAGCGGGTGTGAAGGAAGCTGGTGGTAACGGTGGTGACAAGCGTGCGGACAACGTCGCTGGTGATGGTGATGGTGATGGTGATGGTGATGGTGATGCATCGAGAAGCACCGCAAAGGCGGCCGGCCAAGCAAAACCTGCTGTGAAGACAGAGGCAGAGGACAAGGACGGCAGCGACGGCGCCAATGGCAGCGAGAACGCGAAAGAGACGAGTGCAGCGTTACGTGCATCCACTTCAAACGCCAGAATCACACCTTCCCCTCCTCAACCAGCGACTTCTTCCTCCTCTTGTGCCGCCACCGACACCAGCGCGAAGAAGGGAGGCAGTGGCGAGCGTGCTGACAGCAACTCCATGGTGCAGGAAACCGTGCAGCAGGACACACGGAGCACTCAAGCGACTAGTGGTGGTGACAGTGGTGACAGTGATAATAGTGGTGGTGATAGTGGTGGTGATGGGGCGCAATCAGGGGAGACTTCACCGTGATGATGATGTTGATGGCATGTGAGAGAGCGAGAGACAGAGAGACAGAGAGAGTGTTTGTGTGTGTGCGTGTGTGTGCGTTTGCACCAACTTCTGCGTGTAACTGCCCATCTTCTTCTTCCTCTTTCTCTTGTGTGTATGTATTCGACCACTGCAGCCGTGTCACCGCGGGCCTTGGCATTGCGGTGGTGCCGGTGTTGACGGAGAATGCCACGTCCCGCCATCTCCACCCCCCCCCCTTTTTTTCCTTCCATAGTCTCTGCTTGCTTACTTGCTGACTTGCATTCGCTTTGCATTACATTCGCTTGCTTGCTTGCCATCTTTTGATTGGACGATTGAAACGACCCAACACAACCAACGGCAGGGCAGAGAGTGGGAGCGAGAGAGAGAGAGTGTGTGTGTGTGTGTGTGTGACCCAAGAGCACCTCGCCGAAACACACCCGGAAGAGGCAGTGGTGTCGACTCAAACCAAAACAAAACAAGTATACGAACGAAACAAAACAAAAGCGCGGGAGTGCCGTGACGACGTTTGCGACAAGCTTGACATGGAAAGAAAGCAACAGACGACACAAACGGAACGAAATGCAAAGCTGGAATACGTGGAGTGGTGAGATGCACGCATAGAACTACACTTGTGTACGTGTGCACGTGCGCGTGCGCGTGTGTGGATGTTTACTGGTGGATGCGATCGCAGACGGCCTTGGTGAAGCCCGAGCAGCTGGCGGTTCCCCCGAGATCCCCAGTCCGCGTCTGTGTTCATGTGTGTGTGTGTGTGTGTGTGTGTGTGTGTGTGTGTGTGTGTGTGTTCATGTGTGTGTGTGTGTGTGTGTGTGTGTGTGTGTGTGTGTGTGTGTGTGAGCGGTGCAAGGGGCACATGACGTAAATGGGTCATTTTCTGACGTGTACATGTTCTCCAAAGCATGCATGATTCCCCTGTTCCGTAAACTTGCTTGCCATCACACCACACCGCAGACCACACCACAATCGCATCATCATCATCATCATCATCATCATCATCATCATCATCATCATCATCATCATTATCAAAACATCACCTCCTTGCTGGCGGCAATGGTGTCGAGGATGGCGCGTTCAATCACGTCGGCGTGCTCGTGCATGTGCATGTGTCGCAGCATCATCACGCTGCTCAGAACAAGCGCAGTCGGGTTGGCCTTGTCCTGGCCGGCAATGTCGGGCGCTGTGCCGTGCACCGCCTCAAACATGGCAATGCCAGTGGCGCCAATGTTGCCGCTGATACGGTGTTGGTGGCGCGGAGGGGGGAGGGGGGAGTTTTTATATGTGTGTGTGAATGTGTGTGCGTGCGTGAGTGTGTGTGTGTGCGTGTGAGTGTGTGTGAGAGAGTGTGTGTGCGTGTGAGTGTGTGTGAGAGAGTGTGTGTGTGTGTGAGTGAGTGGGTGAGTGGGTGAGTGGGTGAGTGAGGCAACGAACAGCCACAAGGACGTCTCTCCCATCCCACACCACGCCACGCCACGCCACACCACCACATCACCGTGCCTCCTCTCCACTGCTGCACACCTTGGGGTGAGGCCAAGGCCGCCGATGAGGCCGGCGGAGAGGTCGGAGAGGATGTCGCCGTACAGGTTCGGCATCACCATCACGTCAAACTGGTGCGGGTCCTCCGTGATCTGCAGCGTGTATTGGGTGGTGATGAAGGGATGTGTGAGAAGAGTTAGCGGTGGTGTGGAGTGAGTCTTGTCTGTTGATGTAGCAACATGAACCCCACAAGGACCACCACAAGCACAGTCACCACCGCCACCACCACCACCACCACCACCACCACGACCATCACCACCACCACCACCATCACAGCTGACCATGAGGCATGTCTTGTCGAGGAGCTGGTGCTCAAACTCAATGTCGGGGTAGCGCTCGGCGACCTCCTTGCAGCACTCGAGGAACAGCCCATCAGACATCTTCCTGTTAAGGGGGGGGGGATGAACGGTGGATGAGGGAACGGGTGGGAGAGAAGCGGAGGGATAAGGAGGGAAGGGGGAGGCCGGTGCACGCGCATAGCAAACAAACCCCACTCACGCACACACACACGAACACATACACAATAAGTCACACACAAAACACACAATAAATCACACACACACACACACACACACACAAACACACCACCAAACACACACACACACACACACACACACACAAAACACACACACCCAAAACACACAATAAATCACACAGTGCAAGATTTCCTGTACGCACATGATGTTTGCCTTGTGGACGGCGGTGACCTTGCTGCGCTTGTTGTTCTTGGCAAACTCAAAGGCAAAGTTGGCGACACGCATGGATGCGTCGCGCGTGATGAGCTTGATCGACTGCACCACACCGGGGATCACCTCGTGCTCAACGCCGCAGTACTCGCCCTCCGTGTTCTCCCGGATAATCACAGTGTCCACGTCTGAAACGTATTGGGGGGGGGGGTTAGATTGAGAGAGAGATGGTGAATGTGTGAGATTCGACAACAGGACCGCCTATGGTCGTGAGCAGGACAAATAGAACACACACACACACACACATAAGTACGCGCGCGCACACACACACACACACACACATATGCACACGCACTCCCTCCCCTTTCTCCACATTTCCCCTTTCGCAATCACACCATTAGCATGCTCCATGCTCCATGCAAGGAACGCATCGCTTACCGTCGTATGGGGTCTTGTAGCCCTTGACTGAGCGGCAGGGGCGCACGTTGGCAAAGAGGTCAAACGTCTTGCGCAGCGTGAGGTTGAGGGACGGGTGGCCCTTGCCAATGGGCGTGCCGAGGGGGCCCTACAGGAAGAGGGTGGAGGCACGTGGGAGAAGAGGGGGAAGAGGTCGTAGGAGACACGGGGGAACGTGGGAAGGAAAGACAGTAAGTGTGTGCTGGTGGTAGACGTCATTGTTGTTTCATGCACACATGTGCGCATGTTGGATATCCAAAACACACACACACACACACACACACACACACACACACACACACACACGCACGCACGCACACACATGCACACACACACACACGCACGCACACATGCACGCGCAAACCTTGAGGGCAATCTTGTTCTCGTTGATGGAGTCCTTTGCGCGCTGGGGGATGGTAGAGCGGCCAAACTCGTCAAAGGTGGGCATCACGTCGACATCCTCCCACTCCACGGGCACCTGGAAACACGAATGTGAACACGAATGTGAACGTCAAAAGCAAAGCGCGCGCGTGCGTTGCGAGTGAGTGCGACATCTCGTTGAATGAACGACCAAACACCCTGGTCCGTTGAAATCAGAGTGTTCGAGACACGAAACGAAAGCGACGACCACTGGAGAATAACTCAGTTGTGCATGATTTGCATCACGCACCTCGGCGGCGCGGAAGATTTGCTTGACAGCAGCGGAGATCTCAGGGCCAATGCCATCACCAGGGATCATCGTCACCTTGTGCATCTGCGCATGCGTTGTGTGTGTGTGCGTGTTGGGGGGGGGGAGGGTGAGGACATAAGGGAGGCGCCAGGTATGTGTGTGTGTGTGTATGGTGAGCAAGGGCGCGTATCCATGACTGCATCAAGGCCAACTCGTTGTACCTGTTGAGCAGCGGCAGCACTGCTGCTGAGACGGCGGCACGCCTGGAACGCGAACCAGTGCAGGAAGGTGAAGGTGAGGCGAGAGTGACGTTTCGTGTGTGTGGGGGGGGAGGGGGGGGTCGGATAGCTGTAGGTTGTGCACTGATGAACACAAACATGCACACACGCACACATGCACACACACACACACATGCACATGCACATGCACATGCACATGCACGCACACGCTGTGTCTTGACTCACGCGGGAGAGCATGGTTGGTGGGTTGCACAAAGCGGGGTCCAACGAATCTCTGCGAACAAACAAAGCAATGCAATGCAAAGCACCGGTCACGAGTGAGCTGCCACAAGCAAGCGACGATGCACAGGACCGCAGCTGAGAGCACCACCCTCACAACAACCATCCATCCACACGCATGCACAACAACATGCTCAACTCACAGCAAGCAAAAGACAGTGCTGTTGTCTTGTTGTGTGGGCACGAGTGTGGCGAAAATTCGCGTCTGACGTGTTTCACACATTGCAGCAGCAGAAGAAGAAGAAGAAGAAGCAACAACAACGCTGTGTTACAATCGAACTGACACTGCCTGCCCTAGCTCCTTCCTGCTCCACCTCCAACACCATCTCATCGACAGATACGTTGACAACAGACACGGTGACAGACGGCGATGGATGTGGCCCGCGTACGACTGGTGTTTGCGTCGTTGACGCCTCGCAGCGCAAGGCAGGCTGTCATCGCGCTGCACCACTCGCTCGTGCTCACACACGGATGGCAGGTGCGTCAATGTAATGCGTGGTGTATGCATGATGTGGTGATGTGATGGGTATGCGTGATGTGGTGATGTGATGGTTACGTGTGTGTTGGATGAGAGGTGGATGAGAGGTGTGCATGGCAATGCTCAAACAAGCACATCTCTGCCACAAACGCGTCGCAGGAGGTGCCGGAGAAACGGGGCGGGTGGGAGCCAGAAGGCGACGTAGCCACATTTCACTACACAAAGGATGGCAATGAAGCCATGATGAAGGCACTTCAAATGGATGACCAGCTCGTGTTCCACTTCCAGGTACTGTGTGATGTGTGTTTTGTGTGCGTGTGTGTGTATCTCTGTCTGCGTGCCTGCAACGCTGTTTGCAACACCACTCGCAAGTCTGCCTGCAACTCTGCCTGCGTGCCTGTCTGCAATTCTGCCAATCCCAGCTTGTGCGAGCCTCTCACAGACAGGTGCGTGCTTGTGTGGCTGCGCGTGCATCGCGTGCTAACCCAGATTGGTGGGCGTGACGTCAAGACTGTGGAGTGCAAGGTGCACACTATTGTAAATGGCGGCACAGACTGCGCAGATCCAGACCGCTGCTTATCCCTCGACGCCTTTGCTGCTGCAACATCCTTTGTCGACACCGTGTTTCCCAGGTGTGTGTGTGTGTGTTTGTGTGTGTGTGTGTGTGTGTGTGTGTGTGTGTGTGTGAATGTGTGTGTGTGTGTTTGCGAACTTGTGCATCAACTAACTGTCTGCTCACCTGCCAGCACTGTTTGCTTCTTCTGTTCACTTTACTCCCACCCAACTTCTCTCACGATTTGTTCGCTCTTCTCACACACCGCAACCGACAGGCCACCAGCGGCGCGGCGTGCAGATGATGACGAGGAGCGCGGTGGCCGTGGTGTCGGTCGCCTGGGCGGAGACTCGCAGCCAAACCCAGATGTGCCGCCAAGCATGCTGCGCCCGCCGCAAACCCAGCCGCCAGCCTCCATCTACGACATTGGGCGCAGTGACATTGACCCGAACCTCGGCATGTACAGTGAGTTGGTGAAGACCACACGCCATGCACACGAGGGGATTCGTGGCGCATGTATTGGGATGAGGAGGTGGGGAGCTACCTGCGCTGATTTTTATCACACACACACACTCGCACACTCACTCACTCACTCACGCACGCACACACTCACACACACACACTCACACACACACTCACTCACACACTCACACACACACACACACTCACACACTCACACACTCACGCACACACTCACACACTCACACACTCACGCACACACTCACGCACTCACTCACACACACACACTCATTCCCTCACACACACACTCACTGACTCACTGACTCACACACACACACACACACTCACTCACTCACTCACTCACTCACTAACTCACTAACTCACTCACTCACTCACTCACTCACTCACTCACTCACTCACTCACACACTCACACACTCACACACACACACACACTCATTCCCTCACACACTCACACACACTCTCACTCACTCATTCCCTCACACACACACTCACTCACTCATTCCCTCACACACACACACTCACTCACTCACTCACTCACTCACACTCACTCACTGCAGGCCAGCCAACACCGCCCGGCCACGGCATGTTCATGGGGCCTGATCACCCCTTGTTCCAGGGCGGCGTTCCTGACACAGACGTGCGCACCGGGTTCCCGCCGGGCTCTGTGCCACCTGGCGCACGCTTCGACCCCGTCACGCCGTTTGCTGACCCGCGCGACCCCGCTGGCCGTGGCCGTGGCCGTGGCCGTGGAAGGGGAGGCGGCGGCCTGGCCTTTGGCGAACCAAACCCAGACCACTTCCGGCCACCCCGGGGCTTTGACCCCTTTATGTGATGTGATATGTGGTGTGTGTGTGTGTGTGTGTGTGTGTGTGTGTGTGAAAAGCAGTATCATCATCAGCAGCAGGTGATCTGTGCGAGCTGCTGCTGCGTGTACCCATCACCTGCCCTCGTCACCTTCCCTCTCGTTCCATTCTCGTGCGCGCGTATGCTTAGATTCATAAACGACCACCACCTTGAGGCGTGCGAGTTTGCTTGCAGTGAGGCAACATGTCGTGTTGCGATTGCACTTTTGTCTGTTTCGTCGTGTTGGTGGTGGCAGCAGGTGGATCCCACCCTCACAACCGCCACGACACAGCACAACACGCAACACACTACAACCACCACAACGCCCACAACACAACACACCACTCACAACCGCAACCAAAGTCACACCGCGTCCATCGCCGTCAGCGTCGCTTGTGCTTCTTGCCTGCAAGCAAGACACGTCGCATTTCCTCTGGAGTCCGGTTAACGAGGATCAGCCATGGCCACGCCCACGCCTTGTCACTCGTGGTGCAGTTGAGCATGTGAAGTGAGGCCACTGGTGGGAGGTTGTCGAGGCTGTCAAAGGTGCAGTTCCTTAGCACGAGCCGCTGCACGTTCTGCATGCAGGCAAAGTCTTGGATACTGCAAGAGTCCAGGTGGCACGCGGACACGTCCCGCACACGTGCGACCTGAAGCGTGGAAAATACATCGTCGCCCATCTGCTCTGAAGCAACCACGCCGCGAAGAACAGACAAGTAATGCGTGGCGGTGACAGTGGCAGCGCCACGACATGCTGGGAGGAACAGACTGCGACAGCCCGTGATCTCTCCTTCCACGGTACAGCCTTCAAGCGACAGGCGCTGGCGGTTGGAGAGAAGATAGAGGTTGTGGATGGGAGCGCCAGAACTGGTGCTGGGGAGTGTCAGGCGTGGCACGTGCGCCACAAGGCGGATTGGAAAGTCAGATCTCCTGCAGCATTGCAGCTCCTGCACGCATGGCGGTGCGGGGGCGTCGACATTCAACTTGCGTATGCCCATCGACAAGTACACGCGCACGTGGTCTGGAATGACATGCAGGTCGCTCATGTTCCTGACGCACGCACGCAACACCAGCGTGTCGACGCGGCTGCCAAGGTCAGTCAGTTGCTCCCGTGACAGGAACGAGTCTGGGAGACTGACATGGACCATCCTCGCATGCTCAAACGCAGGGATTGGCAGGGCGGCACTGCTGCCTCGCTTGCGGATGTACAGGCGGTCGAGGTGGGCTGGGCACGTGATTTGCTTCACGTCAGACTCGACAAGCTCAATCTTCGTAGCCTTGGGAAGATGCAGCACATCTGGCATCACCTTTATGTTTGCCAGGCGGACGCTGGTGGCATTGGCGAGTCGATTTGTTGTCAGTGCCACATCTGTGAGACTCACTCGTTGTGCTGCTGCAGTTGCTGTGGTTGCTGGCAGGAGGTCCGATTGGACAGGATTGGAAGGTGTGAAGCCAGTGCAAAATCGCCCTTTCGGCCCTGTTCCCATTGTAGACGCGTGACAGGCACCACTTTGGCATGGCCCACGGGAGGTCGTGGTACAGCTCGCGGCACGTCAGCATGAGGTTGAAAAACGCTCGGCCCAGAGCTTGCTGAGCAGCACGCTTGTCAACGTCCGCTTCATCCAGAATGGACACGTGGTGGTGGTCGTTCCTGGCAGTGAGTTGCAATCAGCGCCCACTCACTGGCAGACACACTCGAGATGGACATGGTGTGTGCTTGTGTGTGTGTGTGTGTGTGTGTGTGTGTGTGCTTGTGTGCTTGTGTGTGTGTGTGTGTGTGTGTGTTGTCGTT